TGATGGGGCAGGAGGAGAGGGCGTGCGGGTGCGGTGATGGGGCAGGAGGAGAGGGCGTGCGGGTGCGGTGATGGGGCAGGAGGAGAGGGCGTGCGGGTGCGAGGATGGGGCAGGAGGAGAGGGCGTGCGGGTGCGAGGATGGGGCAGGAGGAGAGGGCGTGCGGGTGCGAGGATGGGGCAGGAGGAGGGAGTGTACGGGTTCAGGGTTTGTGCTATTTGCTGCAGTGCCTGGGGCTCGCGTCCAATGTCCACCATGTAGGCCGGATGGGAAGGTGTCTCTGTGTTCCTCTCGGTGTCTTCAGTGTTCCTCTCTCGGTGTCTTCAGTGTTCCTCTCGGTGTCTTCAGCGTTCCTCTCGGTGTCTTCAGCGTGCCTCTCGGTGTCTTCAGCGTTCCTCTCTCGGTGTCTTCAGTGTTCCTCTCTCGGTGTCTTCAGTGTTCCTCTCTCGGTGTCTTCAGTGTTCCTCTCTCGGTGTCTTCAGTGTTCCTCTCTCGGTGTCTTCAGCGTTCCTCTCGGTGTCTTCCAGGTGAAGGACGAGAAGAACGGTCAGGAGGTTTTCGATCTGAGTGACTACGAGAAGTGTGAGGAGCTCCGGAAATCCAGAAGTCGGTCCAAGAAGAACCACAGCCGATTCTCACTGGTGCGGTCCAAGCAGCCGGGGAATACGGTAAGTGACGCTCGGGGTCCTAAATATCCGAATCACCCGATCACTACCCGGGAGCAAACTCATCAGTCATCAGGAAGGGGCGGGGAAAGGGGTGTCCACTACCTAACTGCGTCAGTCTCAGGACTGGATGGACAGCAATATAAATCCTTTGACTGGTCCCACATATGTATTGTATGTAGATGTCTCCATATTGGCAGAACCATAGAGTGTGACGGCCATTCTCCCCCTCCTCAGGCTCCGAACCTCATCTTCCTCGCCGTCAGCCCCGAGGAGAAGGAATCCTGGATCAACGCCCTGAACTCTGCGATCACCCGAGCCAAGAACCGTATCCTGGACGAGGTACGTGCTTCCGACTCCGACCGTTTCATTGGTGGGAGCCCCTCATAATGGGCACAGCGGGTGTACAGACCCGGGAACTCAGCACAGGGATGGTGGGAGCTCCTCATAATGGGCACAGCGGGGGTACAGACCCGGGAACTCAGCACAGGGATGGTGGGAGCTCCTCATAATGGGCACAGCGGGGGTACAGACCCGGGAACTCAGCACAGGGATGGTGGGAGCTCCTCATAATGGGCACAGCGGGGGTACAGACCCGGGAACTCAGCACAGGGATGGTGGGAGCTCCTCATAATGGGCACAGCGGGGGTACAGACCCGGGAACTCAGCACAGGGATGGTGGGAGCTCCTCATAATGGGCACAGCGGGGGTACAGACCCGGGAACTCAGCACAGGGATGGTGGGAGCTCCTCATAATGGGCACAGCGGGGGTACAGACCCGGGAACTCAGCACAGGGATGGTGGGAGCTCCTCATAATGGGCACAGCGGGGGTACAGACCCGGGAACTCAGCACAGGGATGGTGGGAGCTCCTCATAATGGGCACAGCGGGGGTACAGACCCGGGAACTCAGCACAGGGATGGTGGGAGCTCCTCATAATGGGCACAGCGGGGGTACAGACCCGGGAACTCAGCACAGGGATGGTGGGAGCTCCTCATAATGGGCACAGCGGGGGTACAGACCCGGGAACTCAGCACAGGGATGGTGGGAGCTCCTCATAATGGGCACAGCGGGGGTACAGACCCGGGAACTCAGCACAGGGATGGTGGGAGCTCCTCATAATGGGCACAGCGGGGGTACAGACCCGGGAACTCAGCACAGGGATGGTGGGAGCTCCTCATAATGGGCACAGCGGGGGTACAGACCCGGGAACTCAGCACAGGGATGGTGGGAGCTCCTCATAATGGGCACAGCGGGGGTACAGACCCGGGAACTCAGCACAGGGATGGTGGGAGCTCCTCATAATGGGCACAGCGGGGGTACAGACCCGGGAACTCAGCACAGGGATGGTGGGAGCTCCTCATAATGGGCACAGCGGGGGTACAGACCCGGGAACTCAGCACAGGGATGGTGGGAGCTCCTCATAATGGGCACAGCGGGGGTACAGACCCGGGAACTCAGCACAGGGATGGTGGGAGCTCCTCATAATGGGCACAGCGGGGGTACAGACCCGGGAACTCAGCACAGGGATGGTGGGAGCTCCTCATAATGGGCACAGCGGGGGTACAGACCCGGGAACTCAGCACAGGGATGGTGGGAGCTCCTCATAATGGGCACAGCGGGGGTACAGACCCGGGAACTCAGCACAGGGATGGTGGGAGCTCCTCATAATGGGCACAGCGGGGGTACAGACCCGGGAACTCAGCACAGGGATGGTGGGAGCTCCTCATAATGGGCACAGCGGGGGTACAGACCCGGGAACTCAGCACAGGGATGGTGGGAGCTCCTCATAATGGGCACAGCGGGGGTACAGACCCGGGAACTCAGCACAGGGATGGTGGGAGCTCCTCATAATGGGCACAGCGGGGGTACAGACCCGGGAACTCAGCACAGGGATGGTGGGAGCTCCTCATAATGGGCACAGCGGGGGTACAGACCCGGGAACTCAGCACAGGGATGGTGGGGGCTCCTCATAATGGGCACAGCGGGGGGTACAGACCCGGGAACCCAGCACAGGGATGGTGGGGGCCCCTCATAATGGGCATAATATGGTAATATTGGGAAGTGATCGGCCACATCGGGAAGTTGATTGAGATTTGAACCTTGACCTCAAACGTCCGACATCTTTTTCTCCATTCTGTGTCGTCTCCTAGGTTACAGTGGAGGAGGAAAGCTTCCTGGCCCATCCAACCCGGGACAGAGCAAAGATACAGCACTCGCGGCGCCTGCCGACAAGAGGTCACCTCATGGCTGTGGTGAGTACGAGGAACGTTCTGATCATGGAGTGGACTCGGCCGGTTTCTGGTCCTTCTTTATTTGGGTCAGCACCATCCATTCTTTTATCACGAAGCCTCCTGCCATGGCCAACGTGTCTTCTCTTGAAGGGGGGTAGGGGGGGTCTTCATTTGTCAGAGTTGGTGTTCACGGTAACGGTGGTAAATCCATCACATTCGGCTCCTCCTCCTTCTCCTGACCTAAGGGGAGAACTTCATACGCGATATTATCAATCGATGTTCTCGGGACGCGAAGAGAGTTCTCGGTCTCTTCGGGGTTCGGTCTCTTCGGGGTTCGGTCTCTTCGGGGGTTCACAGTCTCTTCGGGGGTTCACAGTCTCTTCGGGGGTTCACAGTCTCTTCCTGGTTCTTCCTCCTCCTCCGTACACTTGGTGTCCTTGTAGTAGATTGCGTTTGTTCCTCCCTCACAGAGGAGCCTAAGAATACCAGGCGGAGGGTAAAGGACGGTCATCAGTATTACTGGTGGACTCCATGAAGCCTATCCTTCCCCATTCCTCACTCGCCATGCCTTGTTCTCCACTGTGTCTCTGTGTGGAGGCGGCCATCTTGGTAGAGGCGGGGCTTTGCTTTCTCATGTCAGATCCGCCCCCCTCCTCCCCTGATGACTGGTGGGGTGATGATAGAGGAGGAGGAAGCACAGATCACCAGAATGGATGGAGAAGAAGCAGGGAGATCCTTGCAGTGCAGCTCCTCAGGTACGGCTTCCTCTCCGGCAGGGAGAACACTGAGCCGCACAGCAGTGACATCACCGAGTCCGGCAGTCGGAGGCGGCCGGGCCTGAGATGCTCTCGCACGGCTCTGAGTCTTGGCACAGGAGGTGCATTGGTGGGATTCCAGAATAAAGGTAGACTTTTCATTAGGGATGCAACTGATACCGATACTAGTATTGGTGCCGATACCGAGTATTGGGGTGAATCCTCGTACTCGCCCAAATTCTATGATGCCGGAACTTCCGGTCAGGGGGAGATTTCCTGTGACCGCCGGTGCCGTAGAGGAACATGGAGCCAACTTCCCGTGGGATCAGGAAGCTGGGCGGCGAGTTTCCTGATTGGCCAGGAAGCCGACTTCCCAGGCAATCGGCATCAACACTGTGCTTCCCGGGCAATCGGCATCGAGCCGGCTTCCCGGGCCAATCAGGAAACTGGGAGGCGGGTCAATACTCGCCGCCTGATTAATCTGATTGGTCGGGAAGCCAGCTTGATGCTGATTGGCCCGGGAAGCACAAGTGTATATCACAATCAACCCCGCCAAACAACATGGAGCTGTCTTTACCGGGCCATCAGGAAGCATGTCATCACCCACCGTCCGGCTTGCCCGGGACACCGGCTCCATGCCAGCGGAAGCACTGGTATCGGAGCAACAGTACCGGTACCGAAAATCTGGTATCGGCGCATCCCTACTGTTCATGGCGCGGCTTAGGGACAATTAACATTTCTGACTCTTCCCCTACGACAGAGTAATTCTTCCTTTGTGGAGGTCAGTTCCCCTTTAATGACGGTGTGGTATCACCGCGGCATTCTTCTTCTTCTTCTTTGTCCATTATGGAGAATGAATAGGAAGGTGTGCCGCCATCATTTGACTTTGGCCATGGCAGGCCTGGGAGTACCAGTAGCTGGGAGTTGTGTTGGGTATGACATCATGGAAGACCCCCGTTGGTCCAGTTGTGTTGGGGATGACATCATGGAAGACTCCCGTTGGCCCAGTTTATGTCTTCATACTCCGCCTCGGACACATGAGATGTATTTAGAATTCTGTGTTCCCGGATGTTTTATCTTTAAGGCTTTCCGTTTCCTTTTCTGTAGGCATCTACCTCAACGTCCGACGGCATGCTGACCCTGGACCTCATCCAGGAAGAAGACGCCTCCCCGGAGGAGCAGGGCAGCTGCGAGCAAAGCTTCCGAGTGGACCTGGACAAGTCGGTGGCCCAGCTGGCTTCCACCCGCCGCCGATCCGACTCGGAGAACCTCAGATCTTCGGAGAAAGGGAAGTCGGAGAACCCGCAGAGGAAAGAGCAGATCCCCTGGGAGAAATGGGGTACGCACCGCGACTCGTTCGGGAAGGGCGCAACCTACACACCTCAGGTCCCCAAAAAATTGTCCTATTCGGAGAAGAACAAATGTGCCTCCATGGAGGAGATCCTGTCCCGCTCGGACTCTTCCGGCCACCCACCCGTCCCGGCAAAGGTCCCCGAGTCCGAAAGGCTGTCGCGGATACAGGAACTGATCGCTCAGAAGATAGACAGAACTCAGGAACTTCTCACCGCGGTGGAAGAATGTGGAGAGGGGAGAAAAAAGGGAAAGGAACCTTCCGGGAAGGAGGACTTGGAGGAGGCCGAGAGGCTTTTAGGAGAGGCCTCTTCTAACTGGAGGCAGGCCCGGAAGGTCCTGCAAGAAATTAAGGAGCTGAGGGACCTGTACAAACAAGCCGACCGGCAGCCCCTAGACCCTAAGCAGAAACTGAGCAGTCATTACAGGAAAAGCCTAATGTGAGGGGGGCGCAGGGTCCACCGCGTCCTCCTGTCCGAAAAACAAACCCCGAATATTTCCTGCTTCCGGCTTCACCATGCAAAGCCCGAGGACCACGGCGGGCTGAGGAGCTCCAGAGGAGACGGGCTTTCTATGGCGGGCTCCCTTGGCTTT